TCGATGCTTGATCGGTCGGGCCGTGGAGACGTACGACTACATCAACCAAGTTAACGCTTCCGTTGTCGATCTACAAGGGTACGTAGATCACACTCTCCCCCTCTCGTTGCTATGCATCACCATGATCTTGCGTGTGCGTAGGAATTTTTTTTTGAAATTACTACGAAACCCAACAGGGGAAACCCTAGATCGGTCGAATAGATGACAGCGACACTCTTGTGACGTATCCCTCTTGGGGGCATCATTCTTGGAGGTATGCATAGGCTCGAGGGACCATTGGACGACATCTGCGGTGGAGCGGCGTTCCATGTGACGCATCGACGACGTGGAGTCTCAGCGGCGTGGCGTGGCAGGGCCTCGTCGACAGATGTGTGATGATGGACACGTGTAGGGAGGAGGTGTTTTTGGAGCCGTGGTGGCGTCGACAGCAGGCCTGGTAAGGTCGATGCGTCAGTATCTGCTCTGAAGATGGATCGATGGAAGACGGCGGCGACGACCTGTGAGAGTACGTCGGACCGGTCTGTGCCCCAGACCTAGTGTGTGGCTTGGTTGGGGCCTCCGGCTTTAGATGTTAGGCTTAGGTGAGGGTCTGGGTATTCGGCTCACACTTTCTGCACCCCTTCATCAACGGATAGGAGTAGCGACAGATGTTGCCAAGATGGCGGCTTCAGACATATAGATGTATTACTTTGTAAGGTATTTATGAATAATTAATAAAGTGGCTGCATGCATCTCCCAGATGCAGAGGGGGGGGGGGTCATCCTCCTTTAAAAAAAGTAAGGTAAGGGCCTGCATGTAGTGTTATCATGGACATACTTTTCCTTGGCACCTAGGGATCCCCTTTCAATGTTAGTTAATAAATAACAAGAACCATTTCTGTAGTGTGCTCGTCTTTCCTCATGTTTGCTCCGGAGGAAACTTTGGATCCCGGGTCTTTCGGATCAGGCGATGGTGACGCTCAACGTCACATTCGCCACATGGGGCTTCGTCTTTGAGCTTGCCTTGCTAGGGTGATCGGTGGCTCGAGGTGGTTTCGTTGGTGGTATGTGTGGGCGATGACAGAGGAGGGGGTGGTGTTCTGTCTTCGTGTTCTGGGCCTAGCCATGCCATGAAGTGGGACTGATTTTTCATCCGAAGATGGGTTGGCGAGGTTAATCGTACATCTGATCTCCCTCGTTCCCACCTCCCCTCTTTCGGGGTGTGGTTGGGTGGCAACCGGACGGCCAACGTCAAGGCACTTCACCTTGCTTGGTCAAATGAAGATGGAAGCCGACGTCCTAGTTCGTGTTGGCCACGCTGATGAGTTTGTGGTGGTGGTGCGGCCTGTTGGGGTCGACGGTGGTTTGAGCTCTTCTTTGACGGTGTTCTCATGCTCTTGCTCCCGCGCTTCTCGGTATGTCTCTGCTTGGCGATGTCAAGCGACTATGGCGGTGGCACACAGGTGCCGTGGCGTCGTCTCGGCCTCGCGTGACCTTTCGAATGTGCCCCGCGGCGCAGGTGGTGTCGCGGCATTGTGCAGTCTTGGATGCGTGGAGCCTTTCGATTTGCGTCGACGGTACAGTGTCATGGGCTTGTCTGCTTGGCAATGCCAACTTTGCCTGCGGTACACAGGCGCCATGGCGTCATCTCGGCCTCGCGTGACCTTTCAAATGCACCCTCGACGCAGGTGGTGCCGTGGTGTTGTCTCAGATGTGTGAAGCCTCTGATTGTGTCGATGGTGGAGTGCCATGGCTTGGTCTTGGTTGGCCAATGCTGTTCGATCTCACTGGTGGTGATTTGTATTGTGTCGGGTGTGTCTTCCCTCTTTGTTTCTCCCCTGTTTGTATGTTGTGGTGTGTGTTATTTTTGCTTTATTTCTTCTCCTCCTGTGCCCCCCTGTAATTCTAGTTCACTTGAACCCATCTTGCAAAAGGGTGCGAAGCTGCAAATGAATATAATTCAGGTGGGGAAGTGACCATGCTCAATGATCAGTTGGAAGATAGTTAAAATAGCATAACAAGTGGAATGTATTTTCTCACCCAAAAAAACAGATGTACATATCCATCTTGCATGGAAAGTCCTCCATTTTTTTTAGAACGAAGACGCTAGGAAAGTCCTCCATTTTTTTCTTTTTCTTTTTCTGCTCTGAGAAAATTGCGTTCTGCCCGAGGCTTCCTTGGACTGTCACACAATCCCCTCCACTGTACGGCTTATCCCTGAAACTATGTATCAACCAGCGAAAATATGGTTATAAATTGGAAAACCTTTAGAAGCGATAATATGACATGTAGAAGGAAAATAAAAATGATGGGCTCAGTGATAATAAGACACATAAAGGAAGCACACATTAAATTAGCACAATAAATAAATGACAAACAGCCAGTCTGGTTGTCCAGCAAAGTACACCTTTCTAGTTCTAGCATAAGAAATGGAAAATAATAAGAATGCAAGGCACACATATTTATATCTAAACTTTACGATGAGCTTACTTGATAGAAGTTTGTACTGGTGGTTGAACTCCATCTCCAGTGTACTTGAGCATCGGCTGGTAAAAATGGGGCCATCATGACATGTTAGTTCAGGATTGGTTGGCATTGAAGTCACCTTTAAATCACTTAAAGAAAGCAACAATTTTAAAAGGCAGACATGGCAATGGCTCAAACATAGTTTAACCCCTGCAGTTTAAACCTTTTCTGGTAACATATCACATTTTATAGAGGTGCAGAGAAAGAAGTGCTAAATGATCAACGTATCAGTCAGGTAGGAAATTTCAATTGAAACCACGCAAGACAACATGTATAAGGTGCTTTTGTGTGAACATCATATATAAAAGACATGATCCAACAGGATCTGTTGGCAGAATAGTACCTGAAAACTTTGGCAAGGAATATTGTTCCATGGATCACCTGAGACCTGTTGACCTTTAGAAGATACCTGGTAACCATGACCCTGGAGGAAACCAAAAGTTTAAAGCCATTTAACATAACAAATACAAAAAGGTGAAATTTCAACAATTGGATAGAGAAACTGCAACTATGAATATATGATATGAAGGAAAGCAACTCATATACTATCCACTAGATATACTCACTGATAAGCACCAATTGTTGCATATCAAATCATTCCACATTGTGCTAATACTAAAAAGATACTTGGCAATGTAAATATATACTCACAGTGATAAAGTACTCCCTCCATCCCAAAATAAGTTGAGGCACTTATTTTGAGACGGAGGGAGTAGTATATACATTACCACGCCAGGAGTATATGAGATGTCTATAACAACAACTAGTAAGTACGTGTAATGTCAGATACAGCCGCTGAACATGCAGAATTGAAGATATGAGCACTTAGGTACTACTCCCTCCGTCTCATATACTCCTGGTGTACTACTAGAACATGACAAAGTTTTAAGAGCTATTTCTTCTCAAAAGTTAGCATCGAGAATTACTGTATCAGCATTCCTGGGGTTAGAGGTTTTGTAAACAGCTTCAACATCATATGACATGCCTAAGCTGCAAAATCTATCAACTTCTGCACCCAGTATAATAAATAACAGTGTTCAGATAATTAGCGTCACAATAATGACTGACGGTAAAGGCGACGGCAGTTAACTGAAGCGCAATGAACAAGCTTCAGTTAACTGTTAAATTTGCCGACAGAGGAGCTGTGAGCGTCAACGTGAGCCGTTCGTTGATCAAGCGACTTCAATGGTAGCCATCCATTGAATCGTTTTCTTCGATCGACCGTCTCCTACCTGGACTGGAGTGGACTCTCCTTCACGTCGCATTGCCGGAGAAGACCCACTCCGCCGGGACGCCGGATTCCTCCTCCCTATCAACTCGGGCTATACAACTCCGACACCAACCCCCTACTCCAGGAACAGGGAGAAAGATGCTATAAAGGGTCAGCCGATCTCCTCAACTTCCTCCTCACATCGCACAGCGAGATCAAGGAACCAAGGATCGTTTACCCACTTTCCCAAGGAAAACAACTGAATCCAATCGAGACAAACGCGCGTCCCATCCCATGGCGAGCCAGGGCGACGCGAGCGGGAAGAAAGACTACTCCACGGCGATCCTGGAGAGGAAGAAGTCGCCGAACCGGCTGGTGGTCGACGAGGCGACCAACGACGAGAACTCCACCGTCGCCCTGCACCCGGACACCATGGACAGCCTCGAGCTCTTCCACGGCGACATCGTCCTGCTCAAGGGCAAGAAGCGAAAGGACACGATCTGCATTCTACTCCCAGACGACACGTGCGACAAGACCAAGGTCCGGATGAACAAGGTCGTCCGGAAGAACCTAAGGGTCCGGCTCGGCGACGTCGTCTCCGTCCATCAGTGCCCGGACGTCAAGTACGGGAAGCGCGTGCACGTACTCCCCGTTGACGACACCGTCGAGGGGATCGCCGGAAACCTGTTTCGACGCCTTCCTGAGACCCTACTTCCTCGAGGCCTATCGTCCCCTCAGGAAAGGAGACCTGTTCCTGGTGAGGGGCGGCATGACGAGCGTGGAGTTCAAGGTTGTGGAGACCGACCCTGCCGAGTACTGCATCGTCGCCTCTGACACGGAGATATTCTGTGACGGCGAGCCTGTCAAGCGGGAGGATGAGGAGAGTCTCGACGACGTCGGCTACGACGATGTCGGTGGAGTCAGGAAGCAGATGGCCCAGATCAGAGAGCTGGTTGAGCTCCCGCTGCGCCACCCCAGCTGTTCAAGTGCATCGGTGTGAAGCCTCCAAAGGGTATCTTGCTGTATGGGCCACCTGGGACCGGCAAGACCCTCATTGCCAGAGCTGTGGCTAATGAAACAGGCGCCTTCTTCTTCCTGATCAATGGCCCGGAGATCATGTCGAAGATGGCCGGAGAGAGCGAGAGCAACCTCAGGAAGGCGTTTGAAGAGGCCAGAAGAATGCGCCGGCCATCATCTTCATCGACGAGATCGATTCCATAGCCCCAAAGAGAGACAAGACCAATGGAGAGGTCGAAAGGCGTATTGTCTCGCAGCTGCTCACTCTCATGGATGGGCTCAAGTCCCGCTCACATGTTATTGTCATGGGTGCTACCAACCGCCCGAACAGCATCGACCCTGCTCTCAGAAGGTTTGGCAGGTTTGACCGGGAGATCGACATTGGAGTCCCCGATGAAGTTGGGCGGCTTGAGGTTCTCCGGATTCACACCAAAAACATGAAGCTGGCTGAAGATGTTGAGCTGGAGCATGTCTCGAGGGACACTCACGGGTATGTCGGCGCTGATCTCGCCGCCCTTTGCACCGAGGCTGCTCTCCAGTGCATTCGCGAGAAGATGGATGTTATCGACCTCGAGGATGACACCATTGATGCGGAGATACTGAATTCTATGGCTGTCACGAACGACCATTTCAAGATTGCATTAGGGACAAGCAACCCTTCCGCCCTTCGTGAAACTGTCGTTGAAGTTCCAAATGTCTCTTGGGAAGATGTCGGTGGTCTTGAGGGTGTCAAAAGGGAGCTGCAGGAGACCGTCCAGTATCCGGTGGAGTACCCAGAGAAGTTTGAGAAGTTTGGCATGTCTCCCTCCAAAGGTGTTCTGTTCTACGGCCCTCCGGGCTGCGGCAAGACCTTGTTGGCCAAGGCGATTGCTAACGAGTGCCAGGCTAACTTCATCAGCATCAAAGGACCGGAGCTGCTTACCATGTGGTTTGGTGAGAGCGAGGCCAATGTGCGTGAGATTTTCGACAAGGCAAGGCAGTCGGCACCATGTGTCCTCTTCTTCGATGAGCTCAACTCGATTGCCACCCAGAGAGGAAACAGTGTAGGCGATGCCGGAGGTGCCGCTGATAGGGTGCTGAATCAGCTTCTCACTGAGATGGACGGAATGAATGCCAAGAAAACCGTGTTCATCATCGGCGCCACCAACAGGCCAGACATCATAGACCCTGCCTTGCTGAGGCCGGGGCGCCTTGATCAGCTTATCTACATTCCTCTGCCCGACGTTGAATCCAGGCTCCAGATCTTCAGGGCCTGCCTCAGGAAGTCTCCTGTGGCCAAGGACGTCGACCTGAATGCGCTCGCCAAATACACAGAAGGGTTCAGCGGCGCGGACATCACGGAAATCTGCCAGCGTGCGTGCAAATACGCCATCAGAGAGAACATTGAGAAGGACATGGAAAAGGAGAGGCGGCTGAAGGAAAACCCTGAAGCCATGGAGGAAGATGAGGTGAACGAGATCAAGGCTGCTCACTTCGAGGAGAGCATGAGGTATGCACGCCGGAGTGTGAGCGATGCTGATATTCGCAAATACCAGGCCTTTGCTCAGACGCTGCAGCAGTCCCGCGGTTTTGGCAGCGAGTTCCGGTTCCCTGACCAGCCGGCGGTGGGTGCTACAGCTGCGGCCAATCCTTTCGCGGCAGCTGCCACGGCAGCTGAAGAAGATGATCTCTACAGTTAAATTGTCTGTTGTGTCTTACACTTACTGTATTATATTAGGAGTATGCATCTATAAGACATAGGAAGATCATGTAATCATATTTTTAAGTGCAGTGTTGTGATGTATATAATGAAGATTGTACCCTCCAAATGAAAGAAAAAAAAACATTTGTCTCCCATTCCAGTCTGTGTGTCAAGGATATATCCATTGGCCTGTGGTACAATTCTCTTGTTCTCTACAGGCCGCATCAAGGGTATTAGCAATTTAGCATTATATGTGATGCTATTTTTTCTTCTTTTAAATGTACTAGTTCAGTTTTGTTTCGGCATCTTAATTAACCTTCTGTTATACTGCAGTTTTCCTTTCCTTTTTTTGCAAAAGATTATCTCTACTGAGAAATGCCAGAGCCTCTCCAGAATGTTGACAAATTAGTTTAGCTGAAAGGCTCTGCAATGCGCCAATACCAAATTTTGGATTCTCCAACAAAGTAACTGAAATGATCTGTTCATTAGTACCTGGTTTGGCATCTGTCCCCCTAGCTGTTCAGTATTGGCCCCTTTACCACATTCGCAATCAACAGCGCTCCACGAAATCTGAAGCGTGGGATGGCCATACTCTCAAGCTTAACTTTGGAAGAAATTTTAGCCCAGGACAAATCTTGAGCCTCCAGCATTAACCTGGTCAATCTCATGGTTGCCCTGAAAGATATACCAACAGCGGAGTTTACTCAACCAGCTCTGTACATTAATTACAGGGGAGTGACTCGAGCCTTTATTTCTCCCATATAGAAAATACAAGTCCCTTCAGAAGTTGAGGTTTTCCTCTGGCTAGTAAGTAATAGTATCTCATAACAAAATGATGACCATGGGCAATCTGAATTGTCTTTTGTTCAGAAACTGAACTGTGCATCCATCACCTGCTCTTTGATTGTGTAGTTGTTCTTCCGAAAAAAGGATTGTGTAGTTACTACTAACAATATCTTGGAAATTATCCTTTTCTGGCTTCTACACTGGCCATTGATTATGAACCTGTGGCTGAGTTTTGGGTTTCTGATGAACATGAAAAATTAGAAACGGCCTCGATTTAAAACATGTTGTTTGGATGGATATCAAACAGGTGTGGTGGCTTAAAGAAAACAGATGCTTCCTGTCTCCAGATCCATTTGAAACCCCTGCAAATTGGATGGGAGTGATGCCGTCAGGCTTTGGAGGGAGCTGGAGGCTCTAAACCTAGCCTCTCTCAACCAGCATAGGATTTCAGACCCGCCACCGACCCCATTTGCTCCTGGATCCCCTCAACAACTACCCCGCTGGAGTTGAAGTGAATCCCAAAGAGCTTCCACATTTTCTAAACATTAAACAAGGCTTTCTCCACAAGCTAAATAAGCACTGCTTGTGTAATAAGCAACCAGCTTACTGGTAATATCAAGAGACAATTCAAGTAAATATGATCACAAGTTCACAGCAGCTTCTCACACCAACCCGATCGGTTTATTTCTTTGTTCCTTCCTTCAGGGTAAAATGGAATATGGTAATGGAGGGAATCGTTACATTGTAATTGTATCCATGTTACACACCAGTCTCAACTACTCAACTGGCACCAAAAACAACTTTGGACATTCCTCGAGTCCTTGGCGACTACCATCACGCCCACATGCTTGAATGATAAATTTCAGGCTGGTGACTTCGTCGGGAACTTGGAGGTCTGACATATAGAAGGCTTCAACAGTTGCGACACCAAGAAAGCTTCTGGAAACCTTGGCATTTGAATCCCCAATCAACTTCTCCACATATATGTTATACTTCATGAATGATGCTTGATGGCTGGTATTCAACTTCCAGCTAATTTTCAGACTCAGAAGCTTAGATGTGTTGGAATTATTTGACCAAGAGATGTACTTGCCTTCAGTCACCCATGATTCTGCTGAAGGGAACTGTGTGTTTTCGTCCATGTTCCGGATGCTTATGTGGCCCAGTGATGCATGGTAAGGCCACAACCTATTTGCATCTTCCTCTGAGCTTTCATCTTCATCTGCTTCTGAATTGATTTTGCCACTAGTTTTCAGTGTGCAGACAATGTTGATTCCAATCAATGTGTAGCTGGCACTGGACTGGACAGTTGCTCGGTAGATGACCCAGTTTTGGTTATCTGGAGCATGTGGTTCTACCTTATCAGATTGAACATATGAGCTGTACAAGCGATGCTGTTTCTTTCTACTGAATATCGCTATGTCCTCTGCAATGAGAATTGAGGTATTCTCCTTGTTTCTGGATAAAAAGTCCAGGGACAATCCTAGGTCAGAGTTTGCTTCAGCGTTGACCTGAATCAATCACCAGGAAGGAACTCTTGTCATTTTGCTGAGAAGAAAAGAGCTTACTGAAAAAGCAGATCAGTAAGGTAAGGGTGTGCATGTAGTGTTAGCATGGACATACTTTTCCTTGGCACTTAGGGACCTCGTGTCAATGTTAGTAATAAATAACAAGAAACATTTGTATAGTGTGATTGAAACATTTGTATAGTGCGATTGGGAATGAAGTGAAGGTTTCACAGAGCATGAGGTGCCTATGCTCAATGATCAGTTGGAAGATATTTTCTCACCGAATAAAAGAGATGTACATATCCATCTTCCATGGAAAGTCCTCCATTAAAAAGCTGCTCTGAGAAAATTGCATTCTGCCTGAGACTTCCTTGGACTGTCACACAATTCCCTCCACTGTACGGCTCATCCTTGAAACTATACATCAACCAGCAAAATATGGTCATAAATTAGAAAAGGCTGTAGAAGCAATAATATGACATGTATATAAGCCCAAGTTCAGTTAGCACAACAAAATAATGAACAGTCAGTCTGCTTGCCCAACAAAGTAGAGGGAGTACACCTTTCTAGCTCTAGCATAAGAAATGGAAAATAATAAGAATGCAAGGCACAAATATTTATATCTAAACTTAACGGTGATCTTACTTGATAGAAGTTCGTACTGGTGGTTGAACTTCATCTCCAGTGTACTTAAGCATAGGCTGGTAAAGAAGGGGCCATCATGACACGTTAGTTCAGGATGGGTTGACAAAGAAGTCACCTTTAAACCCCTTAAAGAAAGCAGCAATTTTTAGAGGTAGGCATGGCAATGGTGTTTCTCAAACATAGCTTCACCCCTGCAGTTTAAACCCTTTCTGGTAACACATCATATTTTATAGAGGCGCAGAGAAAGAAGTGCTAAATGATCAATGTATCAGTCAGGTAGGAAATTTCAATTCAAACCATGCAACACAGCATGTATAAGGTGCTTTTAAATTTAATCATTTTGTGTCAAGGTGTAAAGTGTGAACATATATGTAAAAGACATGATCCATCAGGATCTGTTGGCAGTATAGTACCTGAAAACTCTGGCAAGAAATATTGTTCCATGGATCACCTGAGACTTGTAGACCTTCAGAGGAGACCTGGTAACCATGACCCTGGAGGAAATCAAAAGTTTAAAGCCATTTAATATAAAAATATAAAAAGGAGAAATTTCGACAATTGGATAGAGAAACTGAAACTATGAATATATGATATGAAGGAAAAAGCATTAAGCAACTCATATACTATTCCACTAGTTAAACTCAGTATTAGGTATATATTGTTGCATATCAAATCATTGCACATTGTGCTAATATTGGCACTGTAAATATATACTAAGTGATAAAGTAGTATATATATTACCACACTGTAGTATATGAGACATGGCTATAACTACACCTGCTGAACAAGTAGATTGAAGATATGAGCACTTAGGAACTACCACTAGAACGTGGCAAGGCTTTAATAGCTATTCATTCTAAAAAGTCAGCATCAAGAATCACTGTATCATCATTCCTGGGCTTAGAGGTTTTGTAAACAGCTTCAACATCATATGACATGCCTAAGATGCAGATTCTATCATTAATTATATTCTGAGTATGGTTATGTACTGTCTTCTGCATCCAGTATAATTAATAACAATGTTCTGATAATTGGCGCTACAGTAATAATCACTGGAGATGTACCTGATCAAAATCTGAGTAGAAGGGTAATCGTTTCGGATAGCCCCGAAGAACATCCCATGATTTTTCAACGAGAGCCCACCAGCTGCACTATTACTGGGTGAATACTTTCAAAAAGTATGTCAGAACTTGGGAGAGTGTTAGCAGTACGTTACCGATTTTGTGCACTCTGAAAGTCAGGTTGTTGCTTAGTTTCATATATCCATCCAGGAGCGAATATGGCAGTTGAGACATCATCTTTTTTGAGTAGATCAAGGGCAACATTTGTCTAGCAAAATGGACAGTTGACAGTTTAATAGAATGCATTTGCATTCGGGCAAAATAGTTAGAAAGGCTGATCTACTACATTACTGTAGTATTCAATCAATGTTGTATAGCCAGCATGTTTTACAACACTTGAGCATTGGAGTATGTATCTATTTAACACTTAATATGCAGGGCAATAGTTGAGTTACACTCAGAATACCTTACTAATTTAGTTGCCAGTTTCGAAACATAGTACAGACAGGAAAGAATGCAATACACTGCAGCAAGAATCGTGAGTTGAACCAAAAAGAGAGAAGATTTCACATACCTTCCATTGCCCACCACCGAAAGTATTTCGGCCGAAAACATCAATACCCATGTACACATCATACTTCCGGTCACCAGCAGTTGCAGCTGAATCTCGTGGATATTTTTCCTACCAAAATCATCCCAATTTTTGCAGGTAATCATTAAGGGGATATTGCGGGGGACCAGAAAAGGAAAAGAGGGTTACCTTCCATGTATAATTGACAAATAAGCCATCACACAAATCAAAGAATGGCTTGTTATGCTCGTTGAGCTTATCTTGCCAGTCGAGATCGCCACCCACTGTAATTGCATCATACCTGTAGTAGCGCCAAGTCAAAGACGCCAAATAGTTCATAAAACAAGTTTCACAACTAAAACCAGTCATGCTTATTGCACAGTAGGAAATACCATATGACTAAAGATCCAGGAACAGCAGCATGCAT